ATTCAATTTCAATATAACTCTTAGGATACTTTTAGGATTCATTGTTTAGACATGCAAAAATGTAATATTTATTACCAACTTTTATAATTTATTATAAATACATTCTTCGGCTATCATTTTTAATATTGGAAGAATTGAACTGAAAGTGATCATTTCAAATTTCTTCAGGCCATGCACGCAAATTAGCGTTAATATTTTTCAATTACTTTTCTTTGTTTCTCATTAAACTCTTCTGAACGTTTGTTCCATGGCTGCTCCTCCACTGACCCAGCAAAGAGGTAAAAAATATATGTTGTCACAGTGATTCCTACTGCCAAGTAGAACACATTATGCCACTCTTTAACATCATTCTGCAAAAGACACAGACATGTAATCATATAACATAAAAAGAATGTATTAAAGTTACCAAAAGCGTAATGTAACATTATGAAAACAATATTTTTGTTTTGAAAAATTCATTAAATAAAAATTATTAATTTAAATATTTCAGTTCATGAGGATAAAAATCATTTGAACATTTATACATTTCGAAAATCAAAAATATATCCATAATTTGGTTTCCATCGCTCGAGTACAGCAAAAGTTATTATTATAATAATAATAATAATAATAATAATAATAATAATAATAATAATAATATTGTTTTTATTGCTAAGCATCTAAAAGTGTCATAAATAAAGTGATTTTGACATCACATTATAAATATGATTTCTATTTTACTGAGCTCAAAGACTATTATAATTTTGAAAACACTTCCATATTATGTTAAGTTTGGATCTGTTTTTGCAAAATATCTATCTTGAATAGGATATATCTACAATAATTTGGAAAATAAAGCAGGGGAAGAAGACGCTATACCGATCATTTTGTGCCTAGCCACTCTACAGGCTTTCGCCCTGATTACGTACTTTCTGTTGAACTGAGAATGTAGGCACCTGTCTGTACACCTAGCCCGCTTCTGCTCGGCAAAACACATACGGCTTAGGCTTTGTTTTCATTGCATTACAATGTTATCTCGCCTGCCTTAGGTGCTATTGTGTTTTGATTCTGACAACGGCGCGCCCTGATGACTATTCATTTAAAGCTGTGTACACTGGGTTGCCTACCTTCCAGGCGCCTTCCTCACATCTTTCATACAAATGAAAGTTACAGTGCAAAAACTACGTGAAACATGGCATATTTCCATTATTTTTTTTAAAAACCACCACTTTTTTCAGCAGCTAATTCTTTGCATATGAACTAAGTGCAACCCCAATTACCAATGGAAAAAAATCAGGCAGATATCATAAAATGGTATGATATACTCATGTTAGTGAGACAAGTATTGTTGAATACTCGAATTAATGTATCTGAATGTGACCTAAAATAAATGTTACAAATTTCTAGGACATATAGAGGGATCGAGGATAATTAATTTTTGCCAATGATCATGAAGACGGACATTTCATATAACAAAGGATTACATGCGATGAGTGCCCCTGATTGTTATACAACTGCTCATGTGTTTATGTTCAGCACGTTCTGACGCAAAGGAATTTCGGGTACCCGCAAATCACCATTGCATGGGAAGTAGCTCAATAAGCAGTGCAGAGTCAAATGTCGTGTGTAACTTAGGTAAATGAAGTTACCCAACACATGTTCTGTGGAAATTCGTGATTATCTTCGATGATTGATTACTAGTGGTTCCGGGCGTGTCAACTGCTAAGGTCATTAGTCCCGTAAGTATAGTGCAAGTTTTTGTTCGTGCGTTGTCGAAGGATGGAGAAAATTCGGTGCCGATCTACCGTCGGCTAACAGTGTTATTAGGGTTATTCCCATCCCTCCAAGGAATGGGAGGGAAAGTTCGCATGCGGTCCACGGCCCGTTTGTCAGGGTACTGCTCCGACATTCGCCGAAAACTACCGATCAGAGCAGCTAGACCTAGAATTCTCCACCAGAGATTATCTTCGACCTCTCTACATGTCCTAAATAAGTATAGTAATTATTTTGAGATGATGTGACGTCAGCATTCACCGAAACTATCGTATGAACTTAATAATAGTTATTATAACAGTGCGCTCTGATTTAATGTTGTAATAAGTTATCTTTAATACTAACATTTGGCGTAAGCAAACCAGCTACAATCGGAGTTAATATACCAGACAAGTTGACTATGGTGTGTCCAAATCCTGATAAAGCGCCAACAAAGTTAGGAGCAAGATCAACATGATTCAAGTAACTTCCTCCATACAAGCAGCTGCTGGCTAACATAGTTAAGCAGAAGAGTCCAATAACAGGAATTCGCGTGGATTCACAGGAATGACTATTGTCTGAAATCACGAACGTAAGGGCCAGAAGAGCAGTAGCAGGACCCAAAGCCGCTGAAAACAATACAAAAAGTTCAGCAAACACAAGTTGTTCGGCAAGTGAAAAGACAATGAATGATTTTAGAGTTCACTTAAAATTTAATATTTTTTTACCAAAATAATATATTATTAAAACTACACATATATCCGATCACTACAACAGTTTAGCGTATTGTAAAAACCGTGGCTCTTTGATTTTATCTTCAAATATCTTAAGACTTTCGCCACAATGAATGACTTGTTCCACCAAAGTCAAGCCCCATTATTTCGTATGGTTTAGAGTAAAATAATCATCCTTACTTATTCCGTTGAAGATCCTGTACGCAGCCATATGAGACAATAGCCCAACTCTTCGCAATACTTGCGACAGCAGTCCTGAACCAATACCTCCAAGCCATGCACATAAATATGGAAGAGATGATAATAAACCACTCTGCAACAAAATGAGGAAACAAACATTAAAGAAAACGTTATAAAACGTGTTTTAGAGTGAGAATTATAAAATGTGGGGCAAATTAATTTCACAGTACCTCCTTGCACTCCCCCTCCTTCTCCTAAATTGTGATTTGGCCGGTACTTCAGCGATTATTTTGGCCTTTTATGTTCTACCTTACCCTTCTCAGCTTATACCAGTGTCCATTTGTACGACTGGAGTGCGTGTTGGAAAGTCGATCTTGCTAGAGAAAGTCCCTCTTTAACAAATTAAAACAGAGTACCAACTAGTCAGACTTAGGTTTATTGACGAAAACTGGATCCCTTACCTGTACGCTGATTTGTGTTTTTTTTAAATCTGTAGAACAAATGAGTCATAGACTGGATTCAAGGCCAACCGTCACTTTTAAGGTAATTACAATTTTCGTGGATTTAGCAACTATCAATAAGTCAGTATAAATCAAGGGCAATCTCGGGCATCGACGGCGAGAGACACGAGACGACGCGACCACACGCTGAAGTGGCATCAAATACTAAGTTAATGTGTGTATATGAATGCTTGCTACATTATGAAGTGATGATCGATTTTATTAAGGGATACATTTATTAAGATTTTAAAGAAATTTTCCTTGGACATCTTTCCAATCTGCTTCAAACAGGACTATGTGCGTGTCTACTTACGTTTGCGAACAACATTCTTCTTGGCAGAGAGTAAAATAAAACAAAAGAAATGTTATCTGACTTCTATTTGACTTATTATCTCCTCATTATTCAACTTTTGTTCCACATAGAAGAACGCGTAATAAAAATATACCAAAAACAAACCTTTCTGTAATACTGTATGTAATATTGTATGTAGTATAATTTCTAGGCCAATGACCCCATCTCGACCAGGTTTTTGTTCAGGTTCCGTGGTCCCTTGAGCAAATGCTGAGATGGCCCCTTGGTTCGCTTCTGGACAGTAATATAATTTCACTCTCTCCACCCAAGACATCATATTGACTCGTCATACACGATTGTAATTGTATATGTGACTCAATAATATATTGATAATTTTTAATAATTCAATTATTATTATTATTATTATTATTATTATTATTATTATTATTATTATTATTAAATTATTAATATTATTATTATTAATTTAATACATTAATTATTTATGGCAAATTTTCATTAACAATTCATCTAAATTTAATTTTATTACGCATTTAATAATTTAATAAAAATAATCAAATTACTTTTTCCCGCCGTAGCTATGATTTCGTGAGGCCGTACTCGCGTACGTAACACGGACAAAATCAGTTGATGCGACAATATGATTTTCGTTCATTTGTACAGAGCGTGTGTAGAGAGGTTGGCCGGCAACGAGGCTCGATGCCTCCATGCTGGGCTGTCAACCATCAATTGATTCACACGCAGCCCCATGGAGGATTGGCAGGAGGGTAATGCTAGTAGAACAATACCACGATAAGTGTAGATCCTAGAAAATATCTGCCGCTATGGTCCGTTTAGAACAAGAAATTCCTATAACATAGGTTTCTTATTTTTTTAAATCAAAATTTTCTCATGGAAGGTAATTTGAAGGGGAAGGACAATCAACCAATGAATAGGGAAACTCTTTTAGTCCTTGAGCTCCCTACATTCTTTTCATTTCGCTAAATGGAAAAGATTCGCATGATATGTAGTTAGAATGGATAAAATACATTTTTAAAATTTCCTTTTTAAGAAATAGTGTTTGTATTGTTATATAATAAGTCTGTGATTAAAATTTAGACTATTGCAAGTTTAGTGAAAAGCGCGACAAACACGGGTACTTTGAAAATTAAGTATTATTGGAGGGCGTTATTACATCCGTTTGATGGCCTTCCTTACAAGATTATGTTTATGGATATTAGTGGAACAACGTAACCACTTGCGAAAACTATCACTTACCTTTTACTACACGAATTGAACTGACAGTGTACTCCGACTTTTACATAGTGTCACTTCAAGTTCACGAGCTGGAAGGAGAGGGGAATGTTGTTATCCAATCGGGAACTCCAATACCAAAAATTTAAGTCTAACGAAGCTTCCGATTGCATGACACTGCGCTCCTCTCGTTCATCGCGTAACCTCGAAGTGCCACGATGTAAAATCGTGGGCAGGAAGCATAAATAGCTGGCGCTCCATCCATACAGGTGGAGGAAGATCATTTTGCAGAGCACGCGGTCTTCTGCAAATGCTCCACCGATTTACTAACCGGCATAAAGAAATAACGGTCCATAAAGGTTCATGTCACAATGCAAACCAAATATAAGCATAATGCATAGACGTAAATTAACATAAGTGATAGACTGAAAGTATTTCACAATGTCTTACATAAACCTAAGCAAAAATAAGACTTCTTTTGGCTGTGAGACATTTTTACTTACTATTGGTTGGATATAAGAATCGATTTCGAAGTATTGACTATGTCCATGGTCCATGGTACATGACGTTAGTCCGTCAATCGACTTGATCCTATTTCGAATTCTCGATTTTCAGTTAACGTTATTGGTTCATTTCTTGTCTAACTTGAACATAAGCACAGAAGCTCGAAGCTTGCAAACATTTAAGTTAACGTCTTCGTGTGAAGCTATAGCGAACGCACTTGTGAATGAGTCCGCTTTATGGAGTAATCCTAACATTTATGATATCGCATGCTTATGTCGATGTGATTGATGTTGATGAAGCGTGCTACCTGCTGTGATGTCGCAGCCAGGACTTCGTAGAGGAACTTGGGCAGCAGGGAGAGCAGCGTGAAGCCGACCCAGAGCTGACGAACTGCATGAGGCACGGCGGCCCAGACGGGCGGCGAGCGCAGGATGTCGCGCCAGGGCAGCGCGCGGCGTGCGGCGCGTAGGCGGGCTGGGGGCGTGCGCGTCGCGTCGCCCGCCGGCCCACCGCAGCGCTTCTACGGGCCGCGCGCCCGCGCCGGCGCCCGCTGCAGGCGTCCTCCTCGCGCCCGGCCGCGCACGCCCTCGCCGACGCCGACGCCGACCTCGATTGGCCTCCAGGTCCTGCGCAGCGCACGCGCCCGCACCGCGGACGAGGCGAGAGTAGCGCACGCGCACTGTCTCGGCAACGACCACGAATCCCCATGTGGACCTTCCGCGCGTGTGCAACGAACATTTCGGCAGAGTTATTATCGTACTATACA